TACCTTAGGCTGCATGGGAAGAGGGCTGCAGTCCAGAGAAAGATGTGCATTTTGTTAACCTCTGCTTTTAAATTCAGATAATTCTTATGTTGGCAATACGTCGTTCATATCGGATAAGGAAATTACATTAATTTAAAATGTAACATAAGAAATTGGTTTAGTTATGAACTAGTAAGATTAAAGCCTTCCCTTCTCTAATTAACTTGAGGCTAAAATAGTTTTACAACCAGATAAAATTTATTTCGATGTTTGTCCACTGAGATGCCGGATTCTGTCCCTTACAGTCCTGTCTACTTTAAAATGCACTTTTAAAAGATCTGTAAGTAATCTGTAATACACACTTTGAGAGCTCCAGACTATTTTTTGACCACCTAGCTCACTCTGAGATTGCTTACAGTTGTGTTTTCGAAAGAAAGAAGTATTTCAGTCAAGAGAAACAGTGTTTTATTCCTGACTAAGGCATCTCAAGCACTTTTTGATCATCTGTGAACTTCTGAAATACGAGACATACCTCTTTTGATAAAATAAACGGATTCTGGTCTGCTGTTGTATCTTGCCACAGGGAGGGTTGCTACTATTTTCCCACTTAGCCCTGCAAATCCGTTTGCGAGAGGTTTGGGATAGCCTCTGTCCATTACGCCGTTAGTGAAACGCCAGTACAGGGGACCCTGGTGATGGAAGGAAAAGTTGAGCTTTAGAGGAAACTCATTTTTGGTAATTCGGCTCCACCAGAGAGATGAAAAATAATCCTAACACTGGTGTTTTGATAACTACATTGTAAAACTGGAACCATTCCTCCTACAGCCATTAAAAACGGGGAAAAAATATTACAGCTTCATAAAATAACCTGCAGTCTTTTAACACCACCTTTGAGCAGGAAAAGGGTCTCTTGGAAATGAACTGTAAGAGCGGTCACTGAACAAACAGTTCAAATCTCGCCTGTCGCAGGCAGAAAAAGCGGCTTGAATTCCAGGGCTGAGCGATTAATTGGGGAATAACGGTACAATGCCTTTAATGAGGTGGCGTATTTCATTATCGTCTCCTTTCAGGAAGGGAAATGCATAAGGAACTAATTTAGGCCGTGTGTGGGGAAGGGAAAGACACGATAAAATACCTGTATTTTAAAGAGTGGGATTTTTTTGAAGTGCAGCTCCTATGTAAATATTACTCAATTACCGGTTACTCCGTCAGTGCTCTGTCTCCTCGCCCGTTACTGGGGAAAATCCCTCTGAGCGGAGTCCTTCCCTGAGAAGCACCATCCCCAGGCAGACGAGGGGGGCCCGGGGACGTTTCACTTAACTTCCCCCACAGACCTTCAAACCCACCACGCTCTTCGAAAACCCCATTTATTCAATAAAACGAGCAACCCAGAGCAAGGCAAGGCTCCTCTTCTGCGGGGCTGCGTTTCAAAACCTGTCCTCTTTATTCCAAGCCACCCTCCCGATCGCTCCCCACCTTGATGAAGAAGGTCTTGCCGTCGCAGTTGCACCGGGAGAAGACGGAGTCGATGGGGGACGGGATGCCCCAGCCGTCGCTGATCCGGCGGGGGCGGGTGGGCGGCGGGGGTGCG